TTAGCTCAGTTTTTATTTTAGAAAATGAAAAATGCTAAAAATAGAAAAACAACATATCGATGAAAGTTCTGATGGTTTCATGTGATGAACGTTCACGTCACCTTTGCTCTTCTTCTCTGGTCAGATATGAGCAGTGAGAGAAAGGCGCTGCTGGAGAGAGCTTACCCAGAAGTCCTGGCGTTCTGTCGCAGTCTGGGCCTGGTGTTGGAGGTCGGCTTCTCTTTACCTTTCGATCCAGTGATTGATAAAATGATCCGTTTGTAAATCTTGTCGCTGTGTTTCGTCAGGTGCTGGATCTGCGTTGGGGGATTCGTAACGTTTCCTCTGGAGACCACGACTCCTGTGAGATCTTCCTGCAGGAGATCCAGAGCTGCCAGAGGATCTCAGCTGGTCCAGATTTCATCGTGAGTCTTTTCAAATGATGTTTCAGTTCAACAATCTCTGAAATCTGAAAATGATTCATTTTCCAGAAGAATTCTAGATATTAATGATTTATCATAATTATTAAGTTTCCTCGGCAGGGAACAAATTTCAACAAAATCAGTGTGAAGGTCAAAATCACTTTAATTCCCTCAGTTTCACATGTTACATGTTTTAAACATGTCTCTGTTTGACTTTAAGTAAAAGTGGAAGCTTGTGTAAATTGATTTAATCTGTAATTATCAGTTTTTCTCTTTGTTTTCATCCCTTTGTTTCCGGGCTCCAAAGGCCCTGCTGGGGAGCAGGTACGGCCACCGAGCTCTTCCTCGCCTCGTCCCAGAGAAACACTTTGAGGTTCTTTTGTCCAAACTTTCCAAAAACCCTGAAGGCGTCAAACAGCTGAGTCAGTGGTTCCTAAAAGACAGCAATGCTGTCCCGCCCACATACGTCCTCCTGCCAATCACGGCGCACTTCCCCCACTACAGTGACCTCCGACCCGAGAGTAGGCCTCAGCACGACAACAGCGTCCTTTCCTGGCGTTTCACAGAGAATCAACTGTTGCAGCTCCTACGATCTGCCGCCACCGCCGCTGAGGCTGCTGGTGACATCACAGCTGAGCAGAAACAACAGTTCTTCACATCAGGTCAGAGACGTGTCCGTCAGAGCGTCCATGGTGTCTTAGGTCAGACCTGAGTGTCTTCTCCTTCTGCTCCACAGTCACAGAGCGAGAGTTCCAGCAGGGTCTGTGGAAAGACGACAGCAAACCGTCAGCTCTGCTCTTCGTCCGAGAGATACCCCGGCAGAGGGTGAGGGATGGCCCCAAACGTCTCGCCAAGTACATGGACGTGACCACCGACGGGCTGCTGGACGCAGAAGCACAGGGACTCCTCGCCGACCTCAAGTCTCGCCTCTACACCTCGTCCAAGAAGTTCCTCAACCTGCACTGTGTGGAGCTGAGCAAGGGGAGCATCGACCCCAAACGCAAAGAGCACGCTCAGTACCTGGACAGCGTGTGCGAGCAGTTTGTGTCACAGATGAAGTCTTGCATCGCGGCGGCGGTCGACTCTCCAGCCGAAGGGAGACGGAGGAAGATGTGGGGAAGCATCGAGGAGGAAACGTCAGACTGGATGGACGAAGAGATTGGAAAAGATGTCGCCAGAAGTGAGGAGCTCTGCAGGGGTCTCATTGGTAGAGAGGGACTTCTGGGTAAGCTTTGCCTCGCCATGTGGGAGTCCACCAATTCCCGCCATGGCCCTCTGGTCGTCCACGGGGCTGCTGGGATGGGGAAAACAGCTCTGCTCTGCAAACTGGCGCAGGAGACGCAGCGCGTCCTGAAGGCCGGGTCAGTGATGGTGATCAGGCTGCTGTCAGCTCGCCATCCTCAGAGACCAGACATCGACCATGTCCTCCGCAGCATCTGCCTCCAGGTGTGTCTGGCATGTGGCCTGTCTCCGCCCTCGCCGCTGATGGCCGGCACTCACCTGGAGCTGCTTAGGTTCTTTAGGAACGTCCTCGCTCAGGTCTCCCAGCAGGGGAACACTTTGTTCCTCATCCTGGACGCCGTGGATCAGCTGTCAGACCAGCATCACGCTCACAGACTCTGCTGGCTGCCCACCCTCCTGCCACCCAACATCCACCTGGTGGTTTCCATGGATACCAGCAGCGAGGCATTTGCTAACATGCAGCTGAAGGTGGAGTCTTTGGGGAGCTTCTTTGAGGTGGAGCGTTTGTCTCGTAACGAAGGGAAACAAATTGTGGAGTCGAACCTGCGAGCGCAGCAGCGCACTTTGACCCCGGAGCAGAGCGACGCTGTGCTGCAGAGCTTCGAGTCGATGGGCCGTCCACTCCACCTCAGGCTGATCCTGTCTGCCGCCAAACGCTGGTCCTCCTTCACCCCGCTCACAGAGATACACCTGAGCGCCAGCACACAGGAAATGATGTCACAGCTCTTCCTGATGCTGGAGGAGAAACATGGGAAGGAGCTGGTGGGCGGAGCCTTAGGATACCTTGCTCTGGCCAGGTGAGGCAACAGCATCACAAAGGTCATTACATATATATAGAT